TACTACTCCTTCTGTTTTATTATCTATTGATAAGACATTTGGAACGGCAGTAAATACTGAAAGTTTTACAAATAATGCTCCATCAACTTTTAATGAAAATGTAACAGTTGCAGGAACGAAAAAAATGTTATGTAATTTAATTGAACCATCAACAGGAACTAATATAGATTTAACAGCAACAACCGTGACGATTAACGGAACATTTGTTGATTCAAGTGACTCACGATTGAAATATGATATAGACAATATTAACTCTAATTGTATGAATATTATTAAGAAATTTAAACCGAAGAAGTTTAAGAGACACGATAGAAATGATAACGGTAAAACTCATATAGGATATATAGCAGATGAAGTATTAAAAGCAATTCCTAAAGAATTTGAAAATGTTGTTAGCAAAGACAGAGAGTATTTAGGATTAAATTATTTAGTTTTACCCGTGCTAGTTCATAAAGCAGTATTAGAATTAAATGATAAAGTAGATAAACTTGAAAAAGAAATTAAGGAATTGAAAAAATAAAAATCTAAATAAATAATTAAATATAAATATATAAACAAATAAATAATTAATTAATATATATAGATATATGGACATTGACAGGAAAGTTAAAATAAAAGCATTATTTCAAAATACTAGTATGACAGAAAAATATGTTATTGTGGTTGTAAAATTACTAAGTTAAATAAAGATGAATTTACATTAGATAAATGTAATAATAAAGAATGTAATTTTAATCATTCTAAATTTGATGAATATATTAAAGAATTAAAAGAAGAGAGAAGACAAGAGAGAAACACCAGACTACTGGACAAATATGGTAAGATGTTAACTCCTATAGCTTGGGGACTGCTATGGCCTATTTTAATTCCTTTGAAGATTTATTATTATATTATAATCTAAATAATAATATATAATGGGTATTGGTCAAAGCAAAAACGATGAAAATAACAGTATGGAAGACATTAAGAATTTAAGAGTAGATGAAAAAACAAAAGCGGATACTTTAATCATTAAATCTATTCAAGAATGTGTTGCACGAATAGAAAAATTAGAAAGTCAAAAATCGGACAAACTAATATATAAATTACCTGCGTTGAATTTATGCAACGCTTCATTAATTTAAATCAAAAACATTAAAAATAATTTTAATGTTATTGATTAGTTATTTTCAAATATTGTGAAAAGTGTTTCATAAACATTTCATCTGGGTTCTTTTCTAAAAGATTAATATACAAAAACTATGTGGTTCATCAGTGGCGGTCTCATATATTTTATAAATAAGTTTCTTGCTTTCTAGTAAATTATCACTTCTAACAATTGCTGATAATTCATCTTGTAATATTTCTATTTCTTCGAAGTTTCTAACTTTATAATAAAACAAATGACATATATTTACTCTAATAATTGGTGGCACGGTTGATGATTTTTGAAGACTGACAAGCGTTGATATTCCACTATGACGGCCCCTACAGAAAAGTGAATTCAGTAGCTTATTGTTTCTTGTTATTGCTGGATTATCAGATACATCATCCAAAATTACCAAAATATTAAATAATTTCTTCGTTCCTTGTTTTTTCTGGTATTCAATTATTTTATTTTGAGATTCTATAACTCTGTCTAAATCTTCAACATTGAACTCATCCCACCAACACGGTTCTTTATCATTATCTACTTTCAAACCTTCCTTAATGTATTTTTTAACAGGCAACCAAATGCTATCTAAATTTACTGATGGGGACCAGATAAAAATTCTTTCAAATGCACCTCTATAAATATCAAGTATCATTGATACAAGTAGGGTGCTCTTTCCAGAGCCTGACGGCCCTACAATCATCGCTCTCATCGGCAATTTAGGGACGACCTCGTGCTTGCTTTGCTTAAAGTCATATTTGATTTCATCAATTGGTTTTAGATCAGGCATAATAAAATAATATTAAAGATATTTAGAAAATAATTTAATATTATTTATTGTATGAAAGCATTGCTATGATATGAATGGTGTCCATCGTAGTAGAACAGGCTCTTTCATCAACTTCAATCAATAAGCATTGAAGATAATTAGTTTTGTGTCTTGCTCGCGTGTGCAATGAAAACCCAAGTGCTGTGCCCCACCAATATTATACTATGCATGAAATAATAAGATTAATTAGAATAAATTATCGTATATTTAATATGGATAGAAGTTATTCAGATTATATTGATATAATAGATGAAGTAGAGAATATAGAACAAGTGATAATAACTGACAACAGATGTAAGAAAGTATGCTTTTATACATTAGAATTAATAAGATTAGGAATACAATATATCAAAAATAAAAATGTAAATATTAATATAAATGGGAAAAAAGAAAAACAAAAAGAATAAAACAGATACTACAGTTTCTTCAACAGATGAAGACAAAGAAGAAGAAATTGTTAAAGAAACAGCACTAACCGAGTTTGAGTGTCCTATGTGTAAAAAGATGTTAGCAATGAAGAACGAATTAGAAATTCAAAAGAAAGGAAATTGCAAATGTTCTTGTGTGCCATTAGGGTTTAAAATAACTAAAAATGATAAGAAAATGAATATTGATAAAACTAAGGACAGTATCAATCTGAAAACAGATGCACATAATATTTCTATCAAATTTGGAAATGAGGCAACAATGTCAGATAATGGTGATAACGAAACTCAGGAAACTATTAAACAAATGATGAAAATTTAGTATTTAAAGAGTAGATTTTACATTAAATCAATTTTATAAATAAATAATTAAATAAATAAATATCTAATTATTTGTATAATCATAATGCCAACTATGAATAGAGAAGACCATAGAGTTATAACTTTTGACGATGAAGAAATTAAAGACCTATTCAATGGTGATGAAAACTTTGCTAAACAATTGAGCGAAGAATATTTTTATTGGTTTGATGCTAAATTCAATGATAAATATTTTATGAAAGGTATAACTAAACCAGATAATTTTGGTAAAATATTGATTTTTTTTGAAATTACAGGTGACGAGGAAGGTTTGATAAACATGAACAATAAAATTGGTGAAAGACTGTTAGAATATAATTTATTTACATATATAACATTAAATTATTCAGGTAAACTGTATAATAAAACGCATAAATAAATATTTAAATGAATAATTATATAAATAAATATATAGAAATGTCTGAAGTTGAGAATGATGCTATTGCTGAACTATCAAAGAAGGTAATGACAGTTAGTAAAAATGTTAAACTGTTGTACGAGATGATAAAAACTATTGACCAGAAACTTGATGCAAAGGCATACGAACCAAAAAATAGCAATGAAGAGAAGGAAAAGATTGATAAAAAAATATTTGAAAAGAAACAAATAGGAAGGCCGTCTGGCAGTGTTCAAGATAAGCAAAAACAATATATGGATATGTTAAATAAGAACAAAATTAAATCTCCAAAAACAGAAACTATTGAATTCTATAAACTGTTTAAGAACGAAGAAGGAAACTACGAATTAATATAATAAATATCTAAATAATTCTAATAATATGATTTTATTAGAATTATTTTCAGGCAGTGGTTCTGGGGATAATTATGTAATACATAAACAGGAATATTTATACAAAATACCTGCTGAATTGATTTGTGAGATTTTGACGAGTTTGGTGGATTAAAGAAACGAGTTTGGGGTTGTGCTTGAAACTCGAGGAAAATGTCATTTAGTTGCTGCCCCCCTTTTGTGTGGCTGGCTGCCCCCCTTTTGTGTGGCTGGCTGCCCCCCTTTTGTGTGGCTGGCTGCCCCCCTTTTGTGTGGCTGGCTGCCCCCCTTTTGTGTGGCTGGCTGCCCCCCTTTTGTGTGGCTGGCTGCCCCCCTTTTGTGTGGCTGGCTGCCCCCCTTTTGTGTGGCTGGCTCCCCCTTTTGTGTGGCTGGCTGCCCCCCTTTTGTGTGGCAGGTCATGTCCTCCTCCATTAATATTGCCTGACTCTTAAATTAACCCATAAACCTTACAATAAAAAACATTGTAAGATGTATGTGTTGAAATTATGGGGATTTATATTTTGGGAATTTGGGAATTTAGTTTCAAGGAATATTGATTATAGGAATTTCTTAAAATGTACTTAAAGGTTTAAGGACATTGTATTATAAGAACTATGGAAGGAAACATTTGTGTTTTAATTAAAGGTAAAATTTATGAAGGAATTTTGGAAAACGGTTCATTCAAAACTGATAATGAAAAATTATGTAGAAACTGTGGTAGAATGAAACTATTTGACGAATTTAATAAAGATAATAAACAATGCAAGCGATGTTCAGAAAACAAAAGAAATAACCGAATTAAGCATAAAGATAGATACAATGAGGAGCAAAGAAAAAGATATGAAGAAGATGATGAATATAGAAATAAAACACTTGAAAGTAATAGAAAATGGAACAGTATAAAAATTCAGTGTGATATTTGTGACTGTTATTTTTCTCCATGTTTAAAAAAGCAACATCTTAAAACAAATAAGCATAAAAGAAATTTAGAAATGAAACAGGCAGAAGAACATTAACATTATTTTTATTAATAAATATTTTACATAAAATTGTATAAGGTTAATATGTAGAATAACTTCTTAACCTTATATAATATTTCAATGAAGTAAAAATTATTTTCAAGGAATTAGATAAGGTTAATGAATATGAATAATGTATTAACCTTATTTAATATTTAAATTATAAACCTATATTTTTGATTTTGGTAAGTTGTTATGAAATTTATTTTACTTCTTTCAACATCTGTATTGCTATTTTTCCCCACGGCCCCTGTGGATTGATCCACTTTGGAGGAAACCTCTCCTGATGGAAACGAAGCACAGGGCACCCTATTTTCCCCCGCAAGCATCACCACTCCAAGAGGAAAATCAGCCGCAATTAGTCCAAAGTCGATGTGTAAAGCGGCCGATCCCTCTACTTCCTGTCCCAAAATCTTTTGGGGAACGTCGAATGCAACTCATGGGGCATCCGTTCCACGCTGCCGCGCCTCCGGTGATGGAGGCGTAGAGGGTGTGCATGGAGCTCGCCAGCGAGTTGAAGCGCTTGGAGAGGAAGTCTGTCAAGCGAGTTAAGGGATTCCCAAATCAAGCTCGTTTGCCAATAACACGGTTCTCCCCCTAAAAAGATCGTCCTGGAACGCGGGGAATGCGAGATCACCATCTTCCCAAATCAGAATTCACAAGCTCTTTGGGGAAAAAACACACACCAAGTGGAAAAGGGTACTTGGATGTTCAGCCAGGTTAATAAGTAGGTTCAAATCATGGTGACAATGGGACTAACGTTGGTTACCCCACATATTACCATGTATCCAGGCTATTTACAGGGATCTAAATCTCCAGGGCTCCATTCTATGCTGTTGTCACCCAGGAACCAACAGCCCTGTTGGTGCCCCTTGGGTTCAGCCATGTGCAGCAACCCTCTTTCCCAAAACATGGGTCAAAAGGTGTCGCTGGTGGGTAGGGGTAGGGTACATCATGGATACCGTGAATGGACAAAATCCACTTCGCACCGTCAAACAGGTTCACCCACCCCACCAGGAAATTCACAGTAAGGCCAAGGTCCGTTGGAGGCCGTGCGGGTTCTCTTAAACAACTCGTGGTACATGCAAAATGACACCGCGTTCTTTGCCAATGGGTTTCCCGCGACTATCCGATCACTTGAGAGAAGATGTCCCCTGGATTGCAAGACATGGCGGATTAAGGGGGTGGAAAGGTTAGAATGGAACGCCTCTTAATCAGCCGAGGGCCATGAGTCTTGGGTAACAGAATCCTCGGCCGCAACCCCGTGGATTTCTGGCCTTATAAGGCCTTACCAAGGACACGTGGGGCATGTGGAGAATCACACTGGTGATATCAATAGTGGCAGCCTAAAACCCTACCTTCCACAACGGATGTGTGTCAAAATATGGGGACCCCAAAACAACCATGTATCCTACGAGTAGATCAAAGAACCGTGATTTGAGAGTCCGCACCATTTAGCGCTTGTGTCTTTGCAGCCTTTGTACATGCACTTTCTTGTCAGTGGATCTGACTTGTTACGGAATCGAGTTAGCAGAATATGTGATATAGAAAAATTTGGAGCTCGAGCACTAGTCGGGCAAGTACTGAAGTTCCAGCTTCTTGGTATGGGGGGTGTTACCTGAAAAAGGCACCCCCAACAACACATCTTTCCATGAAGTCACGTGGTACGGTCCCCTGACCCAAAACGCCTGAAGTGTCACCTCCGGACTCAGAGCGTGCAAAGAACTCTGTGCTGATGTCGGTGAAAATGAGGCCAAACCTCGGGTGAAAGGCAACGATCCCCAAGCAAGTTAGAGACTGAAAATGAAACGTCTCCTGGATTCCACCATCTCCCGTTGGTTTCTTTGGTACTCTTCAAATCTCAGGGTGCTGACCAAAAACAGAAAACAAATCAAAGCTCAAAGTGTTTGAAAGTGTGGCGTGTACAGCTGCAAACCCGTCTCCTCCTTGGAAGATCATGTTCCTATGGAACCTTCTGGTGGCTTCCATAGTAGGTGGACGGGCATTTCACGGTGGGTTAGTTATGAAGGCAATGGGTGTGTCTTTTAGGGGACCCGAAAATGTCAAAAGGGTACCCTCAAAAAAACGACTCAAATTCAAACCCTAGTTCAAAAAGTGTTCCACCCCCCGACCGGCACTTTGTCAACGGCCCACCTGGCTCGTGCCAAGAAGCAGGAAGATGATCAAAAACAGCAGCACCCCTGACCATGCCTTAGCCGCAGGGGAAAACGAGTCGAAGTTTCGCACAATAGAGGACCCCCCCTTTTCACAAGTTCAAAGAGAAACCAAAAGGACGCCAGCCCCATCTTTCGAGGTCCCCTATCTCGAGAACACCCTAGTGAACATCGACGTTTTGGTTACACAAAGAAAAGCGTTACTGTAGTCACCACTCAAGCTGCAACACAGGTGCCTTGTGCGCCGCTCAAGTGCCGGTTCCTTTAGTGCATGGGGGAATGCTGATCCCTCACGAAAATGTCTGCCCCATTCATCAGCAGGGCTCTCGCAGAAGCAAGGCATGTGCCAAATCGGGATTGGACCCTGCAAAACAGTCCCCTTTTGGCTTCCCCGTACACTTAAAAGCAGGGACCCTCAGCGAAATACAAACCCATACAGCAACAAAGGGATTTGGTGAAATCCGGGTCATGCCTCAGCACTGGTCATGTTCACTTGGCCAGACTTGAGCCAGGAATAATCAACCTGGCAGATTGGGTGGGGGGCTTCCCCAAAAGCGAGGGATCTGCCCTAAAAGGGACACCCCCTAATCATCCAAGGGGTTTTGAATTCTGGTTTAAAATAATTCCAAGCTCCCCAAAAAGCCAGGCCGAACCTCTTCACTCGCGCTCTGAGCCAGTCACCAATGCTCGCATGGTCCGGCCAATGCAAAAGAGGAGGGACTTCAGCGAGCGCACAAACTTCACCACCCTGCCCGACTGAGCGCCCGAAACTCATGGGCTAGGCATCATAAACAGTGAGAACTCCTTGCTGGAAAGGGAAAAATGAAGGAAACAGGCAAAAACAAGAAAAGGACAAGAAAAACGGCACGTCTGGCAACAGATGTTGGTCCTAAGACCAATCAGCCCGTTCAACGAAGCATTGGAACCCTTTTTTGGGGTTGATAAGTTTCAATGGGAAGTCCACCAAATCAAAAAGTTGTGAAGGAAATATGGGTGTGCCAAAATAAGGGTATTCCCACAATGGGTAGTTTCCTTTTGGTGTCCCCTTTAACCAACCTGACTGAAATCGGTACCCTCAAAAAACACAACACCCAAATACGCCCAACTGGGGAACTATACTTCTTCCATCGGCAAAAGACTGGCCGAAGAAAAATTGCCCAGGCCCCGTTGACTACCGCAAAGCAACCACCTGATTTTGTGTGGTATGACTGTACCCTAAGGGTTGCGACTGTTTGGGGAGTCCACAAAATGGCTCTGGACTTAAGGCCCCTTGAGGAATCGGTGGGGGCTTTGCATTGGAGGGGCCGGGGGTCTGCATTGGAGGGGTAATCCTCTTTTCGCACTCTTTTGGCACTTAAGGTGGCCATTAAAATATGGGAGCGTCTGGGCGGTTCTCCCCTGCAGATTAAGATGAACCCTGCAAAACCCGATCCATTTGCGGAGATATCTCCTTCGGGGTACCCTCTTTCCCCGTCTGCGCAGGGCTTTGTCTTTGGCCTGCGACTGAAACCCAACTTTCCTAGGGACGGCCGCCCTTGGGGAAACCATCATGTAAAATAGAGGGGTTCAATCGAAGGATGAAGGTGAACAGGCGAGCAAAAGGAAGGCTCCAACAGGCTGGTGTTGAGTCAGAAGTGAGTTCCTAGATCCCTGGTTCACCCACAAAACTTTGCCTTCCTTGAGTCACAGGACCAGTCATAGAATTGTACATTATGTGTGTGTGTGTGTGTGCGATTTTGAGGGCGCCCGTTTCGGATGGCTTTATATACAAGGGAAGCTGAAAGAAAAGCCACCATTTTTTGGGTCCCCCTTTGTTGACACATGCTGATCATACTCAATGACGATTCTGAATTTACCCGTCACCAGCCCGTGGCCTGTGTTTGGAGCCACCCATTCTTCAGCACCCCTTTGAAAGAGTGAATTTTGTTGATAGCTTCAACTTGCCTGGTCAAGGAGATTTGGGCAATTCTAGGTTGGCCAAGGCCGCGATACAAAATAACATGGAAACCAAAGCACCCCCCCCTCTAGCTGGGGTCTCAATAAGATTTTCAGCCTAGAAGGTCTCAACGAGGTTTATTCGCAGGAACAACCCCTGAGGCGTCATTTGGGTGTTCAAGCCGCTAGGTAGGTTATAACCATGGTTCTAAGCTACAATTCGAAGGACTAAGCCTAGTTACCTCGACAAAAACCATGGTGATACCTGATTGCTAAGCTGCTTGGACTTCCAAGTACGACCCTAGAAGGATCTCTCACGGGTCCCTCACAGTCCTGCTTTTTGCCCTGGGAAATACCCCAGTGACGAAATTTAACTTGGTTATGTGAGACTTGGAAGGCCATCAAAATTCCACGGTCCATTTGGGATACTTGGGTGTTCCATTGGCCGAGTTCACAAGTGATTGCCAATATCTAAAAACCCGCTCATCAATTCCATGTGGGAGCAACCCTGGACCCTCTGAAATGAGATGTCCCGCCGCAATTCACAATGGACTGGAAAGGTCGACCAAACCTCAAACGGGGCTCCCCATACTTCCATCACCCGAGAGGGAGCTCATCTAAAAGTGGCAATCAAAAGGTGATTGTTGAACAAGCGAAACATGGTTGTCTTAAAATACGTGGCCCCAGAAATGGGTGGTTTTCCTGCTGGATTCCTTCTAAACCACCTTAAGAGAAGAGACCTGGGTTCTCATCAGCGTATGACACGTCGGCGCCTGATGATTCTCAGGGCTCTGGTGATCTTTGCCACGCGCAGCACCCGAAGAAGCCGCATGTTGCTGAAGATGCCATTGGATCCCGCCTCTCCCTCCTGAGCCGCTGGGATTGGGTCTCCTTGATTTTGTTTTCGTTACTGCCACGTTCCCGGTCTGATTGGTGCGGCCATTTGCTTTTGAGGGTACTGATTCCGAGACGAACCCAATGGGTGTGACACCTGCTTGGCTTCAAAGGTCTTTTGACGCCCAAAGCTTCGGAAGATTCGAACATGCTGATGGAAGGGGCATGAGGCTTGGTACCCCTTTTTGCACTGTTTCAAAGGGACAGTCCTAAAAACGTAACAAAAACCACGATCTTTGAGACTACTCCACTTGTGTGAGAGTAGCCTACGTGCTTGTCACCCACACAGGCGCCGCACTTTCCTTCGAGCTTAGGGAATATGCACCAGACCGCTGCAATGGCACGACTTCTGAACATTCCTCACTCAGACAAACACAACACTTCACGGTAAACCAACACACAGGACCTCAAAGCCAGCCAAAAGCATTCTGGCCGAGGCGGGCAACGCGAAGCGTTTACAAATAGCTAGAAGAAACTGCCAGCTTGTCTTTTTTGGTGGTAAAGTCAGACATTAGCCGTTTGGTGAGCTTATCATTCCCCAGTGCAAATGAAATTATGATTGAACCCATATTTGGACAAAATATTGTTAACCATCTAAATGAATTTCAAACTGCTGAATAACTTCTAATTGAACTCCTACTTGGAAGGGAAGTGCAAATTAATATCTATCTCGAGTAAAAGTGAATTGAATCCCAACCACCATCCCATTTAAATCTAAGACTCGCAATGTAAAAATTGCAAAACACTTGGAATGGAATCTGCTTTGTTCTATGGGTGTTTACAGGCTTGCAAAGCAGAAAAAAAAAAAAACCAGCTTCTCTTTCCTTATTGGATTACGCTTAGCACCCAATAAAATCCTACTTGGAAAGGACCACCTCTTTAATTCTAATTCAACACAATAAGATCTAATTAAGATATGACTTAAACTCAAAGAGTTGCAATCTAAAACTTGCAATCTAGAACTGATGCCAAACAGTGTAACAGGAATGAAAAGAAAGATGCTGGGGGAATTCCAGCCATAAGATTCCAAATAGAATTATATTGCATTATGTCCTTTCCTGTTGGATCATTAACTTCTAGATCCTAAGGAAAAAGAATTAGACATATAACATTTACAAGATACAGATATTATTATATCTTTATCTTCAAGGGTCAGCCGTCAATGGCTCTGGATTCTGCTTGAAATCTAGCTATTTGCCAGATGTCTCTGCTTCCAAACACTCGGGCACGGCGTCCAGCTCTCTAATCTGTCTGGGGAACTCTTTGGTGGACATCGTCTGTTGTTGCCCACCATACTTGAAGGGTTCCTCGCTCGAATCCAACCATCGCCTCGTGCACAAAGAGGGGACTAAACAAATGATAACAACATAAACAAAAAGAAACAAAAATAGTCTTGGAGGGCCAAACAAAAATAACACACCATGTCCCTGGGGTCTCCGAACAAGAAAAGAGTCAAGAGACTTGCGACACGTTTCTTAGGACAATAAAGCGTCACATTTGGTCCCAAAGGGGTTGTTCAAACGGGCTGAAATGGGAAATGGACCCCAGAGTGACATCAAATGATCATCTCATTCAAATCCAAACATGACCCTTGCTTAGGGAAAGAAAGGGGTCCCTTTCCCTGCCCGTTGTCCGTTCCAGGGCGCCGCATGCAGCGGCAGCTCCAGCGCGAACTCCAAGAGGCTGGTCAGCACCTCTGGAGACAGTGGAGACGCCGAAACCTATTGGGTACAAACGTGGCCTTTTGGAAAAATAGATGGCCCTGGTAAATGGAACAAACCCCATCTAAACCAGGGCCCTCGATTGTTTAAGCAAACAAACCAAAAAGGCAAGATATGATTGAGTAGGTTAGAACCACGGTGGTCAGGGGACTAATCGCAGCAACCCCAGCTATAACCATGGTTACTAAGTTGGTTGAATCTCCAAGTGGATGGATTGGGTCGGGACCCGACTTTTGTCCGCACCAGTTGGTTGGCATTTCTTGCTTCATTGTTCAGAGGGAACAGCACCGCTGTCTGCAAAAAATCGTTGAGTTTGCACATGGTGGTTGTTTACTGCCACAGCACCCCTAAAGCCCTTCCGGGGGTATGGAGGGGTCTGGGTCTGCCATTGGAAGCTCCAAGACCGTCTTCGCGGATACTTAGTACACGCTGGCATTCAGTCAAGTTCTAACCATATTCGTAACACGGGTAACGTTGGGTGGTCCCCTTGCAACTCAGCATGGTTACAACCTACTTACTAAGCGGCACATAGGAAAGCGAACTCCGTCAAACGGGCTTGTCTCAAATGGGATCCTTCAAATATTTAGTTTTCCTTTCGTTCCTCCTTAAAGCCAACGCTCAAAAGAGTACCATAAAAAAGGCGCGCCCAAATTGTCCCGCCATGATCCTTGAAAAGAGGGTGTCAGCACCTGTATGCTTAAAAAAAGAGGAAGCGGGGATGTTAGGCCTAGTACCTCTTTATTATGAAGAGGGTATTTCTGCAAGAGAACACCCTTTTTGAAGGATTGTAAAGGAAAACACACTTAAACCCATGGCAGCCCTTGGGGTGGACACCATGACGACAAACCCCAGAAATACTTGGTGTTTTGGTTGGTTGCAATATCCATTTCAAGAACCAGAATGGGAACCTCCCCAGTCACTCCTATTTTCTCATTTGGAGTGGACTAGCCAAGTACCAAAGTCCGTTGCAATGCTGTTCAAACCACCAGGCCCCCTCCGATAGAAAAGACACTCTGCGGGGATTTCCGAATAAGCCCGCGCATCTCCAACATCAACCCCGGAACCCTTCCGGAGCCTCTCTAAAGATCCCATAGCTTTCAGCCGCACAGAATGTTCGATGCCCGCACTTTACAAAACCAAAGCCCGACCGACCCCAAATGGCGGGGGCCCACACCACCGTAGTATCCAGCAGCAGCCAGGCCCAGTCCTGCAAAGGGCTTCGCAGCTTGTAGTAGATCTGGCAGGTCAAAACCAATGGGATCCCATTTTGCTTGGTAGGTGAATTCACCACCCATTTTAGGACCTATTTTAGTGGGGATTGGGATGTTCACTGGGGGTACGATTTGGATTTTGACCCATGGCCATCTGATACTTCTTATAACAGTTCGGGGACATAGAAAGGCCGCGGAACAGTATGCGTATCGCTTCATCACTCTGTGGGCTCCTGAAACTCACAGCCATATTAGTCCACATAATAGCCCCTGACAGAATCATTCACACGCGAGTTGGTTTCATGGTTACAACTTGCTGCAACCCCAAATGATAAGTTTGACCGAACTTCATTTCAAAACGAACCTGGAAGGGACTGTGCTCATTGCTTCGTTGGGTTGCTACTATTTGTCGGAAGAAACGTAGATGGCGACTTCCTGAGTGGAACCTGAAATGTTTTCGATCAACAGAGACAGCAAGAACAACCTCAGGATCACACATCAAAGCACCAATCCGCTTTGCTTCTCTTGACACCTGGATGACTTTGATGGAGCCTTGGTAACTCAACTCTCTGGCGTAAAGACAAACATCATCCTCATGCCCTGGCTGCGGTGGGCCACCACCACAACAACGAAACCACTACCATCCAAAACCGTGACGTTTTCTTTTTGGGCAGATATGTTTGGGGGGTTCGCCATGTCCGCGGCTGCACGAAAGATCATGCTACTGGAACCCCGGTCCTCCCCACAGATGACAGACGGACGAGCCACCAATCGAAGAAGAAGCTCAAGAGTGAACCTCAGCCGACCCAAGGGTGACTCCGAATTGCGGCCAAGGCCGTATTTGGGGTTTGTTGTTGTACTGGTTGAAAGGGGAACGACGCAAGCCACCCACTTTTTTGCGGAGAGAGGGATTGGATATTAGAGAAACCCGTATGGTGACCACGAGCACATGAGCACTGGGCGCCTGGGCCACTTACCAGAAAAAACAACTCAAGATCTCCGAAGAAGATGACGTCCAAGTGGCAAGAAGGTGTAGGTTGTGGCCACTGCAAAGAGCGCGTCACTCTGCGGCTGTCCTGCCGGGGTGAGAAGGAAAACCAACAATCACGCGTGTAGGTACGTGTCAAAATAGGGGCGATGCCACCAATTGTGCTTTGCTTCTTGTTTCCCTGGGTACTATAAGGTACTCTCAAAAAACACAAACACACACACACACAAACACACACCCGCGCGCCATGGTCAAAGCTGCCTAAGCAGGACTGGTCCTGCTTCGCTTCCCTCTGCAAACAATGCCTTCCCACCACGTGAGTCGACAGAAAGTGCCAAAGTCCGCATTGAGCAGGTCAGCTGGTTCAGGGGCTGCATCAGAGCATCGTTTTGGTCAGCTGGTTCAGGGGCTGCGTCAGAGCATCGTTTTGGTCAGCTGGTTCAGGGGCTGCATCAGAGCATCGTTTTGGTCAGCTGGTTCAGGGGCTGAGTCAGAGTATCGTTTTGGTCAGCTGGTTCAGCGGCTGCGTCAGAGCATCGTTTTCGTCAGCTGGTTCAGGGGCTGCATCAGAGCATCGTTTTGGTCAGCTGGTTCAGGGGCTGCGTCAGAGCATCGTTTTGGTCAGCTGGTTCAGGTTCAGGGGCTGCAACAGAGCATCATGTTGGTCAGCTGGTTCAGGGGCTGCATCAGAGCATCGTTTTGGTCAGCTGGTTCAGGGGCTGCATCAGAGCATCGTTTTGGTCAGCTGGTTCAGGGGCTGCATCAGAGCATCGTTTTGGTCAGCTGGTTCAGCATCGGGCTGCATCAGAGCATCGTGTTGGTCAGCTGTTTCAGGGGCTGCATCAGAGCATCGTTTTGGTCAGCTGGTTCGGGGGCTGCATTAGAGCATCGTTTTGGTCAGCTGGTTCAGGGGCTGCGTCGGAGCATCGTTTTGGTTAGCTGGTTCAGGGGCTGCAACAGAGCATCATGTTGGTCAGCTGGTTCAGGGGCTGCATCAGAGCATCGTTTTGGTCAGCTGGTTCAGGGGCTGCATCAGAGCATCGTTTTGGTCAGCTGGTTCAGGGGCTGCGTCAGAGCATCGTTTTGGTCAGCTGGTTCAGGGGCTGCGTCAGAGCATCGTTTTGGTCAGCTGGTTCAGGGGCTGCATCAAAACATCGTTCTGGTTAGCTGGTTCAGGGGCTGCAACAGAGCATCATGTTGGTCAGCTGGTTCAGGGGCTGCATCAGAGCATCGTTTTCGTCAGCTGGTTCAGGGGCTGCATCAGAGCATCGTTTTGGTCAGCTGGTTCAGGGGCTGCATCAGAGCATCGTTTTGGTCAGCTGGTTCAGGGGCTGCATCAGAGCATCGTTTTGGTCAGCTGGTTCAGGGGCTGCATCAGAGCATCGTGTTGGTCAGCTGGTTCAGGGGCTGCATCAGAGCATCGTTTTCAGCTGGTTCGGGGGCTGCATTAGAGCATCGTTTTGGTCAGCTGGTTCAGGGGCTGCGTCGAGCATCGTTTTGGTCAGCTGGTTCAGGGGCTGCGTCAGAGCATCGGATTTGGTCAGCTGGTTCAGGGGCTGCATCAGAGCATCGTTTTGGTCAGCTGGTTCAGAGGCTGCATCAGAGCATCGTTTGGTTAGCTGGTTCAGGGGCTGCATCAGAGCATCGTTTTGGTTAGCTGGTTTCAGAGCATCGTTTTGGTCTGGTTCAGGGGCTGCATCAGAGCATCGTTTTGGTCAGCTGGTTCAGGGGCTGCATCAGAGGTTTTGGTCAGGGGCTGCATCAGAGCATCGTTTTGGTCAGCTGGTTCAGGGGCTGCATCAGAGCAGTCGCGTTTTGGTCAGCTGGTTCAGGGGCTGCATCAGAGCATCATTTGGTCAGCTGGAGCATCAGCGTTTTGGTCAGCTGGTTCAGGGGCTGCATCAGAGCATCGTTTTGGTCAGCTGGTTCAGGGGCTGCATCAGAGCATCGTTTTGGTCAGCTGGTTCAGGGGCTGCATCAGAGCATCGTTTTGGTCAGCTGGTTCAGGGGCTGCATCAGAGCATCGTTTTGGTCAGCTGGTTCAGGGGCTGCATCAGAGCATCGTTTTGGTCAGCTGGTTCAGGGGCTGCATCAGAGCATCGTTTTGGTCAGCTGGTTCGGGGGCTGCATTAGAGCATCGTTTTGGTCAGCTGGTTCAGGGGCTGCGTCGGAGCATTGTTTTGATCAGCTGGTTCAGGGGCTGCGTCAGAGCATCGATTTGGTCAGCTGGTTCAGGGGCTGCATCAGAGCATCGTTTTGGTCAGCTGGTTCAGGGGCTGCATCAGAGCATCGTTTTGGTCAGCTGGTTCAGGGGCTGCATCAGAGCATCGTTTTGGTTAGCTGGTTCAGGGGCTGCATCAGAGCATCGTTTTGGTCAGCTGGTTCAGGGGCATCAGAGCATCGTTTTGGTCAGCTGGTTCAGGGGCTGCATCAGAGCCTCGTTTTGGTCAGCTGGTTCAGGGGCTGCATCAGAGCATCATGTTGGTCAGCTGGTTCAGGGGCTGCATCAGAGCATCGTTTTGGTCAGCTGGTTCAGGGGCTGCATCAGAGCATCGTTTTGGTCAGCTGGTTCAGGGGCTGCCTCAGAGCATCGTTTTCGTCAAAACAATTCTGGCTCCCCGATGTGTCCTGGGTTGCTGGCGGCGATCTCCACCTGGACGGCAATGAAGGCGGAGTTCGTGAAAATCCTAGCGGACAGACAGGGCTGTTCCCTGAGTGCGCATGAACAACAACTGGTTAAAACAAAGTATCCTAGTTCAAATCAGTTTCCCACCAAAAGCTCGGATCGGCCAGCCAGAAGGATCAATCCATCCCTTCGGAAAAGGTGTCCGATTGTGGACGAGGTTTCCAGTTTTTGTGGGGGCCCACAGGGGGAAACGGGTCGTAAGTCAGGGAAACGGAAGAGTGAAAGGGGTTGATCCTCCACATGCTCTACAAAGAGCGGGGGATTCCTTGGGAATCTGACCCACTGCTGATTCCCCAACAAAAAAAGTAAGTGGACCTAGTATCAAGCATGGTAGTTAATGTACAGGGGGTCCTGTGCTTTCTTGCAATATGTAGATTTTCTACCCGAGCAACATGGATCCCACCAGCGGCCCGTTTTAAAGGAACATTGTCTTCCAACAACCCCCCTCCCCAGGTGCCATGTTGGTGAACGTAGGATTCCCAACCAAACAGCAGGAAGTGAAGACGAACACGTTCCAAACGAACAGTTGTCTTCCAACAGCGACCTGTGCAAAGCAGTGTTCGTTGGCGGATCACTTTTTTGAAGCATCGCGAATCCTAATTCACCGACCCAAGATGAGGAGTCCCTCGAGGGACTGAAAGGAACCTTGGCGAAACATGGCCGTCGCTCTTTGCAGCCCATTCTGTGAGCCCAAGCCTCCTTTTTCCCCTCGTGGAGAAAACCCTCGAAAGCTCAAAAAGAGATTATTGGCCATCTCCCGGTGTCCCTCAATGACATGAGTTTCAGCTTTTCACATCTATTTCCTGATGATGGATGTTTGAGGCACCGTTTCTTTAAAGGAACTGGTTGTTGTGGGAAATTGAGTCAGCCCAATATTTTTGAAATGGACCATAGATTCCAAACATTGTCCCTCCCAAGCGGACCATTGACTGGAAATATCTCGCTCTGTCTTCGCTCTCTTTCTCTCTCTCTCTCTCTCTCTTTCTCTCTCTCTGTCTCTCTCTTTGTATATATGTGTATCTTCAGCGAAAACCCACCAGCAATTCCTGAAACCTCCCCAAACCCACCGGAGGGGATACGTTGTGCGTCGCCACTCGAATACCAAGGCCCGCACACCGAGGCGAAGAGGGCTTCGAACCTGGAAGGCGCGCTTGAAAGGAAGGAACCAAATGCACGCATGCTTGCATGGATGGATGCATGCGATGGATGCATGCATGCATGCATGCATGCATGGATCAATAGATGCGTGCATGGATGGATGCATGCATGCGTAAATGAATGGATGGATGGATGGATGGATGGATGGATGGATAAATGGAAGGATGGATGGATGAATAGATGCGTTTATGCATGCATGCATGCATGCATGAATGAATAGATGCGTGCATGCATGCATGCATGCATGCATGCTTGCATGGATGGATGCATGCATGAATGAATAGATGCGTGCATGCATGCATGCATGCATGCTTGCATGGATGGATGCATGCGATGGATGCATGCATGCATGCATGCATGGATAAAAAAATGCGTGCATGGATGGATGCATGCATGCGTAAATGAATGGATGGATGGATGGATGGATGGATGGATGGATGGATGGATGGATGGATGGATGGATGGATGGATGGATGGATGAATAGATGCGTTTATGCATGCATGCATGAATGAATAGATGCGTGCATGCATGCATGCATGCTTGCATGGATGGATGCATGCGATGGATGCATGCATGCATGCATCCATCGCATGCATCCATCCATCCATGCAAGCATGCATGCATGAATGAATAGATGCGTGCATGCACGCATGCAGGCATGCATGAATGAATAGATGCGTGCATGCATGCATGCATGCATGCTTGCATGGATGGATGCATGCGATGGATGCATGCATGCATGCATGGATGAATAGATGCGTTTATGCATGCATGCATGCATGCATGCATGAATGAATAGATGCGTGCACGGAAAAGCCGGCTTCTGAGGTCTGAGGGGCGATTCGGTCACGCGAAATCTGGCAATGCGACGTCCGTTCAGCCATTCGGTGTGACGCTTGCTTTGAGCCGTTTACATTTGTTCGCAGATAACACGTCGCTCGCGTCCGGGACTTGACTCATGTGTCCAAAAACACTCAAGGAAGATGGAGTAAGGGACCCCCAAGTAAAGGACCTACATCATGGCTTTCGCTAGTTTTATCCCTCGCCATAAATAGGCAGGTAGACCCCTAACTTCGAAGGCTTCATCCGCCTTCAACCTGAGCCTCCAAACCCTACACTTACAATCATCGAACCGAAGGTGAGACCTGACCCCCACTCTTAGTCAGTTGTGCCACGCGAACAAAGCGCTATCCGACAGCCTGTCGGATTCAAACATTGTTCTCATATGATCACGTCGGAATCTGGCTGACAGCACCCCGACAACCCCATTCAAACAATATGTGCGCTCATCACAGTGTTTGATTCAAAGGACCCGTTTTGGACCTGCTGGGGATGGTGTTGAAGGGAAAGGCACGTCAACCCACCATTTCGGGGTCTGAACAAGTAGTTCAAAGGCCTCTCGGTTACTTCTGATATTTGCTTTGAGGTGACATGTGTCTAAACTCCTCAGTAAATGGTTGTGGGACATCACCCTTTCTGTCAAACACATCATCATTGCCATCACTACGTTGTCACTTTAACGGAGAGTCTCTTGGTATCACAGAAATAGGAAGCCTACAACCCTAGTTTCCACAACCATGCCTCAAGTTTGTGTGTGTGTGTGTGAGTGTGCGCCTTAGAGTGGTCCAGTCGTCCTGTTGTTCATGCCTCGACGACCGCAAACGGGGGATGGCACCCCGCAAACATTATTCTTGAAATGGCGAACAAATTGGGGTTGTCAACAAAACGAAGAAGCTGACCGCCGCAAACCCAGCGGTAGCCTTGATCGCATGGAACCACGGCCCTTGCGGCCAAGTCGCATCCAGGATTCAACAAGTCGCCGCAAGCGGATCTGCCAAACGTAGGCGCCCTCCTACCGGCACCATCGGCCGGTTTTGGCTTCTTGGAAGCAAGGGGAGGCCGGCGGTTGCGAGTCTATGCTCCCTTCCTTGCGGGTTGCTTGGGTTGTCAAGCTACTTGATAGGTCATAACCACGATTTTATGAGAACTATGACGACCCCCAGTCCAGTAGGTCACACCCTAGTGGGGAGGCGAGGCTGGGATCGGGTATTTCTTTGAGGCCTTCGCTGCCGCGCTTGTCGTCGACCGAGGATCGAATGGCAGCGCCTTCCGCCTGTCTAGTCATTGCTGAACCGGATACTTCTAGGAAGGAACCGCACATCTCGACCTGCCGATCCGATTAGCACGGCTGCCTTCGCCCCCAGTGGTTGGGTGAGCCTTGAACGTTGGCCAATCCGGCACACAATATACCGTTAGGCAAGAGTTACTGGTCAGCGCGACTCTCCTAGCTGCGGGGATTCCCTACGCACCAGAAGCACCATGCCAAGTACCCAAGGACAAGTGGAGGGTAAAAGCATGACTAGATGCGGTTTCAAAGTACCCCACCTCATTCCAATTATTTCGGCCATTGTACTCCTGCCCTTTCAGGGTTGGCAACCTGGTCTTGAGGATTTCAGCCCAGCTTCGCTCAAAAAAAAATGCTTTTCCCTGACTCAGCGCGGGCATCCTCTATGGCCTTGGCTTCGTCTTGGATTACTCTTGACTTTTGACACACTTGCTCCCGAATTTTCTTCCATTTGCTTAAGCCCACCGGAAAAAAAAATAAAAATATGTCCAGCAGTGATAGATTCCATTTAAAACCAACAGGGGGAAATAAAAAAATAATAATCTTAAGCAAATGGAAGCTTTTTAGGTGTGCCGGTGCATACCACCGGATCCGACAAAAGTTCGCACTTGCCCCAGGAACCGGCCCACTCAGCGGTTGCCACGAGAAGCCAAACCCGGCAAAATCCGCCTCGTAAAGCAGATGTGCCATGGTCAAAACTCCGAACCTGTAAGGGAGGAATCCTCGTGTTTAATTTGCTGTCTGCTTTCTTTTGCGATCCATGGCCAAAGTGAAAGATCAAAGGCGGGAGGCAATCAAATGGTGACTTCTCTCCAGTCCCGACGCTCTCAAAACGGCACAAATTGGATGGGAAACGCTATGAATTTGAGCTGTCAAAACTGCCAGCCAGGGTTCCACTGTTTGACTACGGAGAAGAACGGCTTCTCTGGGAGTTGGGCATAGAGGAGACCTAAAACCCATCCTTTTATGGTTTCCTTACAATATACAGATCCATTGGCTCGTTCCCAAAGCCCCAGCTTGCCGACAGCTACCCACCAAACATGAACAGAAAAAACAGGTAAAACCAAAAAAATAGGAAAAAATAACAGGCCCCGCGGATGAAGCCATTGACGACTCCTTCCGGACGAGCCGATTCGGTCCTCCTTCGGCTGAGGACAGAAATGGGGCAAACATTTCTTCTCGCTCTCCAGGTCCTGGCCCCGCCATCCTTGTCTCTTTTGACTTACCCAAACCTCCAATCACCCTAGTTGCCCATTGGCGTCGATTCTGTGTTTAGTCGGTGTGGGGTCCTGAACCCAGAAAACCAAAAGATAAAGCAGAGTTTACAGCGTGGCATTGAACAATGGCACTAACAATGAGGTACCCTATCCTTGAACCAGGCTCAGGGTACCCCAAACCTAACATGTCCAACTTCTGTTTCCTTTGCGTCGACCTACACATATGCAAATCAGTTTAGAGAAGCCCTTTCTGAGGCTCAGTTCCATTTTTAGTGGGTCCCAAACCCACCAAACAATTACATCCGCAAGAGACCCCAAACAGTGCAAGGAGACAATTAGGACAACGCAGCCAAATTGCTTTTGTGGCAGTGCCTGCAACGAGATCCTGTGCAGGACCTCGTGAGCAGCGTCTAAAGCTATCCTCTGAAGATATTTTGCACGGAGCCTTCCTATATAGATCCATGTTTCACGCCAATCGGCTTGGAATATTGTTGTCAAATTTCTTGGTAGGCTCCACGCCAGACCTCTTGCTGGAAAATGATGCGCGACAGTCTTAGAGGCGATCTATTTAACAAGGTCCTGCGCAGAATCTCTTTCAAGGAGACCTTTAGAAGGTGCGAAGACGGTCCTGCGCCAGATCTTCTTTCTCGCAGAACCTATCCATTACACCCAAAGTCCGCAGAGCGTTCGCTTTGAGGCTTTGGTATTTGCACCGCGCCACATCGAGAGCGGACACGCCCAAAGTCAACAGAGGGCTCGCTTTTAAGATTTAAGTTTGCACCACGCTACAGCTGAAACGATCCGACGCACCCAAAGTCCGCAAAGGAGTTACTTTCGATGATAGAAGCTTGCGCCGCGCCTCAGCGAGGACGCACCCAAAGTCGACCTTCGACTAAAGAATTTGCACAGTGCCGTGGCGACAGCGGTCCGACACGCCCTAAGTCCGCAAAGGGTTCGCTGCAAGCGCGCCAAAGTCCGCAGAGGATGCACCAATCCACCGTTTGCAAAATTCGCACGGCGCCGGAGCGAGAGCGCACCTCCGACACGGACCCGCGCGCAGACCCCCTTCTGTGCGAGCCTGCGCAGCCGCCCTGCACTTGCGTGATGTTGGAAACAACTTCTGTGCAAGCCGGCCCACACGAAACGATGCCGGCCATGACTGGGTACTGCTATTCTCATATAGTGATGTAGAGCCAAAGCAAGGGGAGCCATTGCAGCCTAAAAGCGACGATTTGTGACTTATTGGGGGCTGTTGGAGGGCATTGCTCCCCTTGTTGTGGCTCTGAATCAGTATGTCTTTCCTTTCGGTTTTCAATTGAAAAGCCGCCAAATAGAGGCTTCCCATTTTGAGACACGCCCGCCGCCCAACTGGCTCAGACCTTAATCCTCATAGCTGTGGGAAATGAAACAACCCTTTCTTTGATACCAAAGTTGGCCATCCCCACTACTTCATCACTGTACAGAATTCGGATTCCTCAATATCATAGATAATGGCAACCTAAAATCCCAGTTTTCCACCACTATGTCCCCTTGAAACATCAGCCCTGCGGGGAACTGGGCCAAGATCCACGGCTCCTCCTCGCTGTTCATGACGTAGCTGTTCCGGCTCTGCCACCCCGCTGGGGAGTTGGAGTCGTCGACCTGCTTTCGCCATGCTGGAAGGAAAAACAGGGAAGGTACGATCTTTGCGCTTCTCGATGTGGCTGTACATCCATACATACATACTACATACATACTACATACATACATTACATTACATTACATTACATTACACATACACTACACTACACTACACTACATTACATACATTACATACATTACATACATTACATACATACATACATACATTACATACAT